AAACAAAATGACGCGCAGTGGAGTGTGAGCCAACTCAAGTTAACCAAGCGCGACTCGATATTTATAGTCAGAAAAAATTAGTTACAGGTATGTGATGAATAGGGTAAACAATACACGCACACGCGATCATATAAGACAGTCAGTGTTGATAAATGAATGATTAACAAGGTCAATGTTTGACTTAAGAAGAATGAATAAATTGGTATGTCTGGAAGCTAGACTAATCCGTATGGGCGTGACATGGTACCAGACACTACAACCTAAGGACACTGATTAGGTACAATTCGGATAGCTAGAGCACTGTACAACTGCTATTCTAGTATACGACTCCTGCGAAGGGGATATTCATTTTTTCACCGAAGACCGAACTAAGAAGGTTCTGTTTCGCACATGATCACCAAATATCTAGACTATTGAGCCAGCATTCACCGATGCACATATGTGATTTAAATCAACTCATGATATTGCGCGACCATTTTTCATTATGTACGGTAGATAACCGTCTTACATCAGACATGATTGAGCTCTAATATTCGCGGCTTCCCACTAAAACTCCTGAAATCTCTACTAGAAGTTAGTCATTAATGAGCACAGGATTATTATTAGCATGGGAGTTTTGTAAAGGCCGTTAGATTTAAAGGTGTACATCACGGACTGATCCTAGTTATACCACCATTTTTTTGTTTCTATGCTTCGTAAAAATTGTTTATAATTTATTTAAAATTAATCATCTACTGTTTATTTTCCAGTTAAAAATGAAATACCTTTCATGTTAGTATATGACCCAAGTTTAAAGAAGTGATAATGGTCAAAGTGTTTGAAAAATACATTTAATGAATAACAATAATTCTTCCTTCTACTCCCGGAGTACAGTTTAAACGGCTTAATCTGTTTGGAGTTCTTTTTATAGCATGATTGTTTTCCACAGGATGGGGTTGCCGACCCCATTCCCAACCCTCCTCCTTTACCCAGGGTTGGGACCGGCAGTAACTCAAGAAGAGCTACAGGTGGAATTAACAATAAAATGAGTTATTAAATTGAAAAGATTGAGCAGTGTAAAATCCCTTAGATAAATACTAGTAAAACAGTGATCATCATTGGGATGGAGTGACCATCAAGCTATATTGCAAATTAATTGAAGTTGGACATCGATCCAAAGGTTTTAATAGCCAAGTGCTTACCACGATACCTAACGGATCTGTGGTGGGATCCTGGGTACGTACTATTGACAAGTTTCATACTGGGGCGAGAAATCCGTCCAGAATTCCCTGATTTTTAGCAGCTTATCGTCTATTTGCAGTTGGTGACACAAGCCATCTCCATATCTCACAAATAATGACCAAAAGATAACTTCAAAAATCTTTACAACTTATCCTATTACAAATGTCATCAAATCAAAAACATCAACTCATTTATCTGGAGAAGATTTCTAGTTTTATTTTGTTAGTTAACATAGTAGTTTGAATCATATAAGTCATGATATAACGTCTCCTTTCGTAGAAATTAAAAACTTTCTGAGTTTTTCAGTTTCCTGTCAATTTTCTAGAATAATATAAACACTAATTTGTCCCTTAAATTATAAATCCTACTTCTTCACATTTGTTGTCTTTGACCAATTGTTATCTATATCAGAACGGGGTTTCGTGGAGATTTTAGTAATTTTATATAGTTGAAATCATGAGTCAATTAAAGCTAGACCATCATGGAAAACCTAAAAGCACTGGACGACCGTATCGTCCTATTGTAGGACTCCTCAACAATGCGCATCCACGATCCCACCTCGAGGGATATGAATCCAGGACCTACCAGTCTATATCATTTCACAGCTCGATCAACATTTCTTTAGAAACGTAATCAAAGTGTGCTATATTATTGTCTTTTTTCCAAATACATGTAATCAACTGAAGAAAATCCATGGAATAAATTTTTAAAAAAAACATTTTCCCCCTGCTTTATTGATCAAAAAACAAACAACCATAGTAATAAGAAAATAAATAAAGTCAAAATATGAATAATTGAACTTTTGATGATGAGTAAAATTTTTTTTAAAAAACACGATGGATTGTTGCGTGTCTTGTTTTCCTCAATTATGACTAGCTTGTATGTCTCTCTGATGAAATTGAAATAGAGACGTCATAAGAGAAAAAAAATCTTTTCTATGTTATGGCATTCAATTTTCGATATACCATTAATTATTAACATAGTGATTGGACTATTTAATAAGAACGTTTATTTTCTTTGCTTTCAATGTTATATGCTGTAAAAGATTGTGTAAGATGAATAATTTAATCATTTCGTCACCTAAAAATTATAGACAAACTTTTGTTGATATAAAATTAGTCAATTCGATTTTATATAGTTGAGATCATGAGTCAATTGAAGCTAGACCATCATGGAAAACCTAAAAGTACTGGACGGCCGTTTCGCCCTATTGTGGGACTCCTCAGCAGTGCGCATCCACGAACTCGCGTCGGAGGAAGCCGGCTTACTGCTCTAGCGAGACTGGTAGGCCCTGGGTTCGAATCTCGCTCGCGAGATCGTGGATGAGCACTGCTGAGGAGTCTCATAACAGGACGAGTTGGCCGTCCAGTGCTTCCAGGTTTTCCATGATGGTCTAGCTTCAATTGACTCATGACCTCAACTACATAGAATTACTAAAATCCCCACGAAAACCCCTTATGATAATTCGATTTCAAATGAATTTCACTATTAAGCGTAGAAGTGTAACGTAATTAATGTAACTTAACTAACTAAGTACAGGGTTGTGTACGGAGTTTCGAACCATGCTCAAGGTACGAGAGTTCGTGATATAACTAGACTTCTGAAATTGAAGCAGTTAATGTAAGATTCAGATATGCTAGCTACTGGTCAATGGCAAAGTTTTTTAATTACTTAACAACAACTACCGAATTTAGGTCAGGTTGAAATGCTAACACATACGGAATTAGTCTGTCACAAAAATGATACTCGATAGGTCAGGGGAATAGAGAATTCTTCAACTTACACCTCTTACCACTCTTGGAGGGGTATAGGTCACCCACCGAGACTCCCCAACAAACTCTGACCTCACCCCTCTATCTCAGCTGACACTCATTCTTTGCTTCAAATTCCTGGTGCAATGTATTATTTGCTCTGCCATTTTGTTTTTTCCCTTCAGGATTATTAGTTAGGGTTTAACTCGCAATACAGTTTGATGATTTGCATAATGTCTTCGATTCACTTTCAACGTCTTTTCCGAATTCCCTCTTCAGCTGGAAGTTGATTTGTTCTATGTTTCATTCATTTAGTGCTGATGGTATACGATCAACGGGCATTCAGTAACTTGAGTAAACAACTGCTTATGAGTACTAGTACATTTTCGATAATGGTTGTAGTAGTTCTTCAAGTTTCAGCTCCATACAGTAGAACTGTCCAGTAAAGGATTCCGAACCATGCCACCCAATGTCGCTAACCATTGTTTACAATGATCACGGAGACTCCGATCAGGTAGTTTGCATCTACCTACATGGCACAGTTCAATTATTGATGACTTTATGGAATGGTGTAATATATTGACTTCGTCAATTTTAACTTCCTTCCAACCTACTCCTACACTAGGCAACACCTGTCGAGGTGAGCGGTGGTTGGGGATACATTACTACCTCATCAGCCAATTTGTCATATTTGCCTAGTACGTCATGCCTGCCCTCGGCATTGCTCAGTCGGTGGTCTCAAAATACACGGGAGAATACTTATTGATAAGCTTTATAGAAGATATTTGATGACGCATGTTAGCTTGAAAACTCTATCAAATAACTTTAGACTACTAACAAGTAGTTTCATACTTCTGTATAAAATATTAGCCATGCAGAAATCAAGAATAGTCGCCGATGTGAAACAACCACAATCTATGGGTAGGCTACTTGATATTCAGGATTTTCGAAATACTTTAGACTGAGAAAAGTAACATTGAAATACTATATATCCACTGAGTACTCCACATACACTCGTCTGAAATAGGAACTTAGACCGCGACTATCTCAGATTAGTTTTATCTTACTGGGTTGTATTTATTTAACTACTACTCAAGGATTTTGTAATGCTGATGACACACATAATAAAAAAGAGCTTAGCGAAAATGTACGTTAGCTCGACTTGGCATACTAGATTAGAATGACAGGATGAAAATAATAAGAGATTAAGACGATGGAGTAGCCGTGCTGACACGTGACTGTTGTATCCCAACAACCAGCCTGGATATTCACCACTTATTTTCAGAGTTTATGGTTCATAACCAGGTGCCCAGACTATATTACTCTGATTAGTTATCAAACTTAGCCTGAAGAGAGTTGGTTTTGTTCCAGACAGTTACACAGGTGTGGTGCTGCGACAGTACGGGAACAATACAAGATAGAAGGGGGATGAGGTTGACTAACTTTTTATGACTTATAGGGATGTTCTGAACAATGAAGATGGAGAGTGGATTAACCTATTGCCACAAACGAGGAGTATTTTTAAAAGAGAAAGAAACTGATAAATCAAAAACTCAAACGTCAGTCCTGATATTTACTGGACAGGGAAGTACTACACTACTCAGAAATTCAAACGACAAAAGATAAATAAGTCTCGACACTTAAGACTATATTTATATCAAGTAAAACCAACAAACTAACATTAGAAATGTCACGCCAAAATCAACAAGAACCCTAGGTACATAATAACTAAAATACAACAAGTGATATATGAAGCTCCTGATTTTCGAACTTAAATTCATGTAAACCATCAAAGAAAAGTGCAATAGTTTAGTAAGCGAATGTATCATATTATTTCTAACATATACCCGCTTTAATGGTCAGGAGTTATACACTACAAGTCGAAACTTGCAGAACCACTACAAAATCTCGCTTAAACTTTTAACTACTATCTAAATTGAGAACACATCTAAGCAATTACAGATACTGTGTTCGGTCAATATATTAGACAAGATTTAAGACAGCTCAGATAAGTGGAGTATGTTATCCAAGTTGGCGATATAATACATAAACTCACACCACACAGCCAAACTATTAAAGTCATGCAGTACATTTATGGTCTTACAATTACAATAATCTATAACTAAACAACCACTTGTCAAATTTCCATGTTAGAGGTTTTTGAAAAAAAATCATATTCTTATAAACATTTTTATGAACAGTAGCTTTGTCTACCAATGACCAGTCGCTTTTGTGAAACCACATAAGTCAAAAGATTATAAGAACTAACAATTAGAACATAATGGGATATATTTATTGAGTATTTTTGCTTTTTGATTCTTTGAAAGGAACATCTGCAGGTCCATACTAAAAAAATAACGTTAGGAATAAGAAAATCATTTACTTTGTCCCATAATGTCTTAAGGTCCCTTTTCATAGCGTAGGCATCCTCACCATCAGCGTAATACTTAGGTTCTATGTCTGATACTCTGGAAAGACTGGTCAAAAAGAAAGTAGTATTTACACAAAGTGTAGAGTTTTTTTGTACAGAGTAAGAGCAGCTCTATTACTTTTTCGAACGTGAAGAGAGACATATCTAGCATGAAAATTTTCTACCATAGCTCTTGATGCCAGATTCATCAGCGTTTGAGCAATTCCTAATCGCCTATATGGTCGTTTGACTGCCAAAGAAGTAATATGTCCATAGGGGACGTCTTCTGGATCCTCTTCCCTATCCAGAGTTAATGTACAACGAATCCTTACATTTTTGCCAAAACATAGCCTACAATCTCCCCATTATCTGTTTCTGCTACATAAGATAATTGTGGCCATGATAAACCATGGTAAAAATAGTACTTCATTTGATAATTTTCCGGCAAGCAATCTAGATTGCAATCTCTCATGTTTAGCAAATCGGTTGGCTAGGCGGTAAATATAAATTGCAATTACAACCTACTCTAGCATTCCTAACATTCATCTTCACGAAGTAACGTGACCTCCAAATCAAAAACAGCGGCAGTCCGCGACCTTTCCGAGAGCTATCAATTGCCTGTTTCAATTGGTTGTAGATAGAATAGAAAAAGCTGTCGATCAATGAACTTTCGTATTTAGTAGCAGCAGGTCTTTGATGCCACCAAGTAGGAACCTAAAGATATTTGACAATCAAAGAGAAGAAATATTAGTAAATTGTAGAGAGTTACATTCTTAGTTCTTGATAATATGTCCACAGGTATTTTAGAGGATGTATAGAAGTGTTTAGGATGCTGTAAGTCATTGGGAGGTCACCTATGAGACTCCTTAATCCGAATAAGTTGCAAACCATTCCTGAAACCATACTGCTAGGTTGAAAAGATGTTTATGGACAGTAGGTAGTTACGTAGACCCTAACACATCAGGGACTACACAATTTTTGAGGATATTAAGAGAAGTGCTACCGGTTAGTAGCTTTAAGGTTTGCTGCATCGACATCCTTCGGAAATTGGTGTAAATTGAGCCAGCTTGCGATTTTCTGAGCCCGTGACGTTTGCATGTGGATAGGTACCCCTCTTTCTATTGATAGAGGAAACCAACTGGTAGTGAACAGGTCTTTAGTTAGATCATGACACAGAATACAGTGGATCGTCAGGTCGTCTGTTTAAACACACAAAGCTTTTCAACATTCAGTGTAAGATAATAGGAAATACAATCCCCATATAAAATAAAGAGGTGAATGAATACCTGAGCTTTTTTGCTTTGATATACTTCTATATTTTTAAGTTCAATTCCTAACTAATCAACATAAGTTTTTAAAACTTTACTTAAAGAATGTGAGAAAATAATGCTAAGCGGTGTTGCCAAGATTCAAGCATGTTCTCTCAGTATAGCAAAATCTACCATATCCGGGCCAGAAGTAAAGACTTTGTTAAAGTGCTTCAGTTTCTGACAAGCCAAGTCAGCTCTCGAGTTCACTTCTGAGTGTCCTGTTGAGTTTCAGGTGAAGCTCTCGTAGATATAGTTAGTAATGAGCAGTCGAAATGTTTGAAAACACTGTTCTTTCAGGGGTTTGGTACGATCACCGCCTGTTAGTTGGGTCATTAGAACATAGCAATTGGGAAACTCCAGTTTCGGTTTGTAAAATGGGAGTGTGCATGACGAAATAAGATGTTCTTACTGCAGGGTAATTTATCGATTAACTTGACTTAAAACTGAAGTCACTCTTCTCTATGAGTCTTCGTGCATCGGTTTTGTGTTTATTTGAATTACTTTTACGCTTTGCTTTCATTGGTTCGCTTGTATTCCTCCCAGTAGTATCACTTATGTTTCAACACTCGAAAAAACCACTCTTCATAACCGTACGTTTCTTGTAACTTTCGAGGACCGTTTGTAAGACAGAGTGGTTTGTAAGGTCGTGTGCAGTAAGATATCCCAGTGAGTGTCAACATCAGGCTGATGGTATACTTCTGAGCCCACCTACTGTAGGTCGCCCTGTAAAACTGACAGATTCAAACGTTTGAAATTTCAACGTGATGTTTTGGCTCGGTTTTGCTTATAGTATTAAAGGCCATGATGACATAATCTTTTTTTCCAAGGGAGGAGGAGGATCGAGAGGCTGTCAAGTAGGAACTCTTCACTTGTCAACATGCAGTCTAAGCGTGGCGGCTTCTAACTGTTTCTCAATCGAAATGTTAACTACACATTCCCGAATAATTTATAATCTTCAAGGGGTTGAAGAACAGATCTTCAGCAGAGTTTTCACCTCCAATGTACATGTGTTCAGTAAAGATGAATTTGAGAAGGTTAACGCCTCCTAGAATCAGTATATAAGAGCATCCGAGGTGAATAGCGTGAGGTAATTTCTTCAAAATCCAACTTTAGTACTTGGTGTCAGCATTAGGTTTCTTTTAGGTAAATTCAATAAGACACGTTAATGTATTCGACAATCCTACTGAGCACTATACATATTCATCAAGATAGATAAACTCTTGAGCGTTCACCTGACGTGCTACCTCGCAAGATCGTGGACAGAAGACTGCTCCGCCCTCTATTCCTGTTTTCCCGTAGTTGTTGAACAAAGGCACACTGGATATTACCAGCTCCTAGTTCGTAATTAGCGTGGATGCGCACGTTTGGGATTTTTTTTCAGATAAATATTATTAGCGGTACATGGTTCACCCAACCTACCCATTTTGTTCAGAATATAGGCAGTTGGTGCTTTCGGTTTTAAACGCATGAGATTCCTCATCCTGTTTGTCTGGATAAGCCTTATGCAAATGAACAAGCAACCTACCTACACATAGTTTTCCGAGAGCATAGTTCCAGTTCCTTCTACATTTTTCTTCGTTCTTGACAATCCAAGAGTTGAATGGTCATTTATAATTTGCCTTTGTGCTTTATCCTTGCTAGCGTGGCCTTTCCGGATGCTTACAGATTCAAGTTTGTAACCAGCGTCTGTTGGCACGAAATGCTTCGGGATTGGTGGCCACCATCAGGGAGGATGGAAAAGTTATCTATATTAGCCAGGATCTAGAATCATCGTCCTTCTTGAGTAGTTGGAAAACTTGTTGAATCAATATGTTCTTATGCTTCGAGGACTGCTTTATGAACTCCCACTCTAAAATATCGTAGTATCAGGGTCTGTGTTTCTGGGATACCCTACACAGCGACGGGCCTTTTGTGAAAGAACGTCTAGCGAGGTCACTTTGAGGTGCTCCTGCTGAGACTATGCATCGGCTGTGGTATATCAGACAGCATTCTCACATCCCTCTCAGATTGTAGTAAACGACTGGTCTGCAGAATAACCTCCACATTAACACAAGTATACATTATATAAAAGTCTTGGATGGTTTAAGTGCCTAGCGTCCTTCACACTGATAAGTCGTGTAACTGTTAGTGATTCAATTTTGAAAATCTTGATAATTCCGTCTCAAACTTCCAAATTATCCTACTGGTTTTGTCTTTCAAACAGTCTTCAAGGTCCATGGTTATTAAGAAAACACCAAAAACCTTGATTGGTTTCCTTGGTTTTCAGGGGAGGTTTGGTTTCTAACCGTGAGAAAAAGGCAGTATGTTTAAAACAATAAAAACGAACAAAAAACGAAGTGTCAACACGTGAAATGTACTAAAATTAACCTCTCAACGTTAGAAAACCATAAGAGGCGAATAACAAGTTGAGATGAGGCAACAGTTAACCGCTAATTTAGATGAAACTGAAAAATTCTACTAAACTTCAAGCTCGTGATTGGCTCTATGGATCAAGACTGGTGCTTTTGTTACTTGAGGACTAAACAACAGTTTGGGGATTCCAAGCTACAACAAGACAATACTTCCTGTTCCTTAACCTCTCATAAAACCAAACGACAAAATCCTTCTCACAAAAAGGCTATGTTAGTTTCTTCTTATCGCCATATAGGATGTTGGATACCATTTTTTGATGTGGAAATATAGAGCCTTCTTTTTTAACATTTGGAGATTTAAGAAAATAACACATTATCTCACCTTTATTACAGTAATTGTGGGAACACTCTTAACTTATTCTCCCACAGTATGTTTAAACCGATATAAGCATCCATACATTTTTTGAAAGAAATGAAAAGAAGCGTAACTACTGGCTACTACTAGCTAATAGAAAGGCCTATCAGCAGTATCACAGTCACTTACCAAGGTTTTCTTGTGATTTTTCTGTTTTGACCATGTTGTCGCCATTTTGCACTACTGAAAGGCTCATCAATTTCCTGTTGATAAGACGAATAGGACGACGTCGATTACTGACTGCATAACTTCGTATCGAAGAACACCTGGAATACTGCTGGCAATAGTGTGAACTTAGAAGCTGAAAGAATAATTGTCAGCTCCGTCCATACGAATAGAATGATCGACCCATATTGGAATACGGATCCCACGTATAACCCCTCCAAATGTTGTAACTCGGTTGATTGATATTTTGTTTTATTTTAGCAGCAGCACCAACTACCGACAATAACTCATCTGCAGTTCAATCGCAATTGCCACCAAAACACGGTCTTACTGAGTGTATGAGAAGATAGTTGGGCAGTTACTTCAGTCTTCAGAATTTCCACCCTACATCCTTACTTCGTCAGAGAAACTATGCAAGGGTTAACAACGAATCAACTCCAAAGTGTATGCACCAGCTAACAGTTTTCCAATGTAACCAAACATGCCCCAACCATTTTAATATGCACCTTTATTAAACGTGAATGAAAATAAGTACAGAGACCGAAAAAAGCTACTGACTAGGCTTTTTCTTCAAGAAAATCCGATTCAAACACTTAATAAAAGGAACTAACAAGACGATTTGAGATAGTAGTCATTAATGTCTGCGGATCGTGTTCCAAACTAACGATAATGTTATCATTTTCACGATTTTCGGTCAGTTTTTACTGTGAAAGTTGTTGGGTATACAATCTATTCGAACAGCTTATGAGATAATAACCGAATGCAAACAATAATTTAACGTTTTCGTCGCCGCAAAGATACTTTTTGAATATCTATGCGTACACAATGTAGTGATTTTTCACTTTATTGTTTGATGACTGTGGAATATGGCCACGTGAAATGAACATTCTAGGAGGTTACAAGGGTGCTATAATAGATATTTCCAAACTATCTCTTATATCTGATGTAATCGACAATTTTTCTCATGTTAACAGTTGTAGTTAGGATTATTAAACTTTGATTCACAGTGTTTAACAGTTCTAGTTATCAACTATTCCAACTCGCTCTAGCGAAAAAAGATTGAGGGGTATCAAAGATACTTTGTTCAAGCTATAACATTCTTTGTGACTTAAGATGTGGAGATATGGATACCAATATAAGAAGATGAAGATCATCAGACAAGTACCGTACTATATTGTGTTTAGATTATATTATCCAAATTTACCAAAGTAATCATTTGTTTAAATATTCAAGTACATTCGCTCGTTGGGGCCCGCGAATTATTCGTAAAATAGATTTTGAAACTTCAGGTGATCCGATTTTTACTAATTTTCAGTGGTGCAGTTGGACTTCTACTGAAACCATCCCTCAATATTTTAATGCTTTTTATTCTTTGGTCATTTATGTTTTATATGAAAGTACGTTTCA